GCGGTATGCGCGCGAACTACTAGTGTCTACAACTAAACGGACCTTACTTTAAAAATACCCCTCGTAGATAGTGAGAAGGCTTTGGGGACTCATGAGGAGTCCTTCAGGAGCCAGAGACATGATCGCATTGCAAGACATGAGACAGCATGTCTTGCATTGCAATGCGGCTCAATTCTGCAGCTCAATTCTGCATATGGTGAGCAAATCATAAGGAACCCAATACAAAAAATACACCGAAGGGGCCCATTCTAGAGTGGCACGAGAGGAAACAGACCCTCCACACTCTGGGTTTCGGCTCTTGGCTTTCACGGCATGCTTTTTGTCCTTCCTAAAGACAACCACATTATGAAACGCTTATTTCAAGGCAGTTCAGCTGCTGGAGCCAAGCCAGCTGACAATGTCAGTTCAAAAGCAAGAAGGAGCATTTATTGCCGTGTTACGCCTCCCCAGCAACACATTAAGTGCTTAAATGTAAAACGCCAGCCAACGCAAGAGCAACTTAAAGCGAAGGAAAGCTGTGCAAAGCTCACCTTCGTAGCCAAAGGCATGTTCCTCTGTTTTTACTTTCTGAACTTTTCTTCCCCCGCTCCTTTTTCTCCCTCCTCCTCCTCAAGTTCCTTTGAGCCGACCGCAACCTGGCCTCAAAGCAGCAAAGTCTTTTGAAATGGGAAAACGCCCGGGCCTCCTGGGAGCCCGGCTTCAAGGCATCTTGAGCATTGAAAAAAACGGATGTAGTCTTTTGGTGGGAAAAGCACAGGATACGCAAGGATTTGAGCACAACATGGCTCGGGAGCATTGAAAGGGAACTTTTGTGACTCTGGGACAAAGGGAGAGAGGGCTGTTCGTCATCAGGCCCCCAGTCCTGAGCAGGAAACCAGTTTGTCCATCTGCTGCCTTCAGGAAAGGCAATGCATCCACTTCGAAAGCCTGGCCCAAATGTGTCGATGCATCACCTCATTTCTGTGCACTTCATGAGTGACACGAGAAGGTGTGAACAGACTCCAAGGAAAGCAAAGAGATCTTGAAAACTCTTGGATTCTTGTGCTGCACGAGTAAGGTCTAAACTGGTCTTAGATATGCAGTGGCATATGTAAGACCAGTTGGCCCCAGCAATTGCAAGAATGTGGCCCGCAAGACCAACCCCAAATTGGGCTGTGGCCCGACCCATGAATGTTTCCTCACTCATCTTCAACTGCCTTGGGAACAGGAATGTTTGGGAATTGGGATTTTTTTCAGCTTAGGGAATACCTGCATTTGCCTACATCTACATAATGACGTATCATATTATTATTATTATTATTATTATTATTATTATTATTATTAACTTTATTTATATCCCACTAACATCTCCCGAAGGACTCGATGCGGCTTACAAAGGCCAAGGCTGCCAACAAAACAACAACATAACAATACAGAAATAAAACTCATAAAGCAAACAATAAACATCAAGCAAAAAATAAAACACTAAAAACGATGACACCATGACGCATTTAAAACCTAAGGCCGGGCCAATGTAATGAACAAGATTTAAAAGTGCTGGAACTCTATCTCCTAAATCTCTAACAAAGTGCATTTGGGAAATGGTGCTAGGAGTTTCCTATTCTGGAAAGGCACACTGGAACAGCCAAGTCTTCAGGCTCTTCCTAAAGACTGCCAACATTGGGGCTTGTCTAATGTCCTTGGGGAGAGAGTTCCAGAGTCGGGGGGGCCACCACAGAGAAGGCCCTGTCCCTCGTCCCCACCAAACGCGCTTGCGACGCAGGTGGGATTGTGAGCAGGGCCTCTCCAGATGATCAAAGGGATCGTGTGGGTTCATATGTGGAGATGCGGTCACGCAGGTAGGCGGGTCCCAAACCGTTTAGGGCTTTGTAGGTAAGCACCTGCACCTTGAATTGGGACCGGAAAATGAATGGCAGCCAGTGGAGCTCCTTAAACAGGAGGGTTGACCTCTCTGTAAGGAGCACCAGTTAACAACCTGGCTGCCGACTGTTGGACAAGTTGGAATTTCCGAGCCGTTTTCAAGGGCAGCCCCACGTAGAGCGCATTACAGTAGTCCAGTCTGGAGGTGACCAAGGCATGGACCACCCTGGCCAGATCAGCCTTCACGAGGTACGTTCGCAGTTGGCGCACGAATCTCAATTGTGCAAAAGCCCTCCCAGACACCGCCGACGCCTGAGCCTCAAGCGTAAGTGATGAGTCCAAGAGGACACACAAACTGCGGACCTGTGACTTCAGGGGGAGTGTAACCCCGTCCAACACAGGTTGCCACCCTATACCCTGATCCGGTTTACGATCAACCAGAAGGACCTCTGTCTTGTTGGGATTAATCTTCAGCTTGTTCATCCTCATCCAGACAGCCACAGCGGCCAGGCACTCGTCCAGCACCCGAGGGGCCTCCTTGGAGTTAGGTGGAAAAGAGTAGTAGTGTGTCATCTGCATAGAGATGGCACCCAACTCCAAAACTCCGGATGACCTCTCCCAGCGGTTTCATGTAGATGTTAAAAAGCATGGGAGACAGAATAGAGCCTTGCAAGACCCCACAGGTCAAAGGCCAGGGGTCCGAGCAGGCATCTCCCAGCTTCACCATCTGGGATCATAGAATCATAGAATCCTAGAGTTGGAAGAGACCTCATGGGACATCCAGTCCAACCCCTTCCCAAGAAGCAGGAAAATCGCATTAAAAGCACCCCCGAGAGAGATGGCCATCCAGCCTCTGTTTAAAAGCCTCCAAAGAAGGAGCCTCCACCACACTCCGGGGCAGAGTTCCACTGCTGAACAGCTCTCACAGTCAGGAAGTTCTTCCTAATGTTCAGATGGAATCTCCTTTGCTAGGGCTTGCCCCAATTCAAAGAAAAGGGGTTTTCAGGAGAGAGAAGTTACGATTTATTATTTATTATTCTTAATGGAGCCACCAATTTGTAATGTGAGGTAATTTTGGGAGATTGGGCACACTGAACGCCGAATCAATGGAGATGAGGCAGTCTTAAAATCAAAGAGAACAAGTTTATTTTGAAACAAAGCGTATGGTTGCAGTTTGGTGATAAACTTGGAAGATACTTGGAGAACGTTACATATAACTTGGTTGCGATACAGTACAGACTTCTGATGTTACAACTTATAAATAACTTTTGCTGTGGTGAAGCACTTTATTAAACAATGGTTCCTGAGGTGAATAGTCTTCCTGTTTGACCCTTCCGTGATCAAACCTCAGATCTCTAGTTCACTTTTAACTAGTGATCTAAACAAGCTTCTATTAGTCTTCTCTAACTAATGAAACTAATAAGGTTTCCCCTTCAGCCTTCCTAAACTGAAGAAACCTCTGACTATTCACAAACACTGCTTCTCTACTTCCCACTCTCTCTCTCTCAACACTTCATTTCCCTGAGCCTAAAACCTGACTCTTCATTCCTCTGAGCCTAAACCCTGACTCTTCATTCCTCTGAGCCTAAACCCTGACTCTTCATTCCTCTGAGCCTAAACCCTGACTGACTTTAACTGTCGCTTTTCAAAACTCTCCTCTCTAAGCTCCTCCCACTTCTCTACAGCATCGTTTCCATGGTAACACACTCCTCACAGCTAGGCCGCTCCAGCATTAGGGCAACCAGTGCAAACACCAATACAGTTATAATCTTATCATTTACAATCAACTTCTGTACAATACCTAATAATCCAAGGGCAAGATAAGACTCCAAAAGGGCACACAACTGGTCTTAATGTCAGGGAAAAACCTTTACCTTTACTGGGTTGTTGTAGGTTTTTTCGGGCTATATGGCCATGTTCTAGAGGGATTCTCTCCTGACGTTTCACCTGCATCTATGGCAAGCATCCTCAGAGGTAGTACCTCTGAGGATGCTTGCCATAGATGCAGGCAAACTCAGGAGAGAATGCCTCTGGAACATGGCCATATAGCTCGAAAAAACCTACAACGACCCAGTGATTCCAGCCATGAAAGCCTTTGACAATACAAATAAATAAACAACTGCACTAACAAACAAATCACAGAATCTTAAAAGGGTTGGAAGGAACCTCTAGTGACACAGTGGGTTAAACTGCTGAGATGCTGAAATTGCTGACCAAACAGTCAGCGGTTCGAATCCGGGGAGCGGGGTGTGCTCCTGCTGGTAGCCCCAGGTTCTGCCAACTCAGCACTTCAGAAACATTCAAATATGAGTAGATTAATAGGTACCGCTCCGGCGGGAAAGTAACAGCACTCCATGTAGTCATGCTGGCCACATGACCTTGGAGGTGTCTACGGACAACGTTGGCTCTTCAGCATAGAAATGGAGATAAGCACCACTCCCCAGAGTCGGACACAACTAAATGTCAAGGGGAAACCGGTCCGACCCTCTGCCGTGCAGAAGGACACAGCAGAAGCTCTCCTAAAAGATGTGCATCCAATCTCTGTTTTTGTCTTCCAAGTCAAGGTACATTGGCACAACTCAGGGATGAAGAGCTACTCTGAGGACAGAATAATCTCATATGAAGCATGGTGTGCAACCCTGAAGATATAAGCAAGGCGGCATTCCAGTGGCCGGTCAGTTCAGCTACTCCCATCCCAAGCACCTGCTTCCCAATGCAGCTGCTCATCCCAGCTGCCATGCTCCCTCATCATACAGTGCATGCTTTTATGTGTATGCACGCAATACGCAGAAATATGTCACTCCATGCCGCATAAAGAGGGGGAAAAAAATAGGCAAGATATTTTGGGGAGCTGGTGCTCACTGAAATATTACTACTTTACTTCATGAACACCAGAGGCACTCCAAATGGCCAGCTACTGGTCAAAGGACAACTAATCACCTACCAAGCTTGCAAACTTTGTGTTCTGTTCTGTTTGTTTGTTTGTTTAAAAATGCAATACAACTGTTTGGTTTGCTCCTGACACAATAAATAAATAAATAACTCCATGAATTTGACTTTTCCCATATGCCCAGGAACTTTTGCTCCCCCACTGGTCAGACCAATTATTATTATCATTAACTTTCGTTCTCTCACATTACCTCTTCACGTTCTTCTCTTGGACTCTGGCCTGCAGAGCAGCGTCATTGCGTTGGCGAATTCCCCTCCGCGGCTTCTCTGGAGGGAACGCCAATCACTAGGAGCTCGACTCCTGTTTAAAGCACAAAAAACAAAAAAGAGGGAAGCTTGCTTAGATACAGATCAGAAGCTTTCGGCAAGTACGGGCTGTGTCTGAGCGTGCTGGCTGGAAAGGAGCCCAGTAGTCCTACCGTCATTGAAGGGGGAAAGCAGAGCCTGGAATGCCGAGAAAGAGTCCGAGAGGGGTGTACTCATCCAATCTAGGCAACGCCTGGATAAACTCCCTAAAAGAAATCAGGCACACAATTTTCCGTCATCTGTACCTGATCCCTTCCTATTTATTTATGTATTTATTTCTGGTACTTCTACCCCGCCCTTCTCAACCCCCGGAGGGGGACTCAGGGCGGCTTACAAAAAGGCAGGATTCGATGCCTACACAAGATATACATACATACAAAACAGCAGCTAAAACAATTAGCGAATTACAATAATCAGTACATAACACAATCAGTAAAACTAATCTCATGTTCAGCGTTCAGAGTTCCATAGTTCCATTCCATTTTGTCAATTCCTGTCCATCGTCAAGTCCTTTCTTTAGCTGCCAGAATGTCCAAATGCCTGGTCCCAAATCCAAGTTTTCATTTTTTTTCCTAAAGGAGGGATGTCGCTGATCTAATTTCCCCGGGGAGTGAATTCCACAGGTGAGGGGCCACCACTGAGAAGGCCCTGCTCCTCGTCCCCGGCCAATCTCACTTGTGATAGAGGCGGGGTCGAGAGCAGGGCCTCCCCAGAAGATCTAAGACTCGAGGTGGGACGTAGAGGGAGATCCGTTCGGACAGATACGCTGGGCCGGACCGTATAGGGTTTTGTAGGTCAAAACCAGCACTCTGAATTGTGCTCGGAATTGGGGATTGGCAGCCAGTGGAGCTGACAACAGGGGAGTGGTATGCTCCCTGTATGACGCTCTGGTGAGAAGTCTGGCTGCCTCCCACTGGACTAGTGGGAGTTTCCGAACAGTCTTCAAAGGCAATCCCACGTAGAGTGCGTTGCAGTAATCTAATCGGGATGTAACAAGAGCATATGCCAAGGAACCTGACACCAGACCTTCTGACACCAGGCCTCTCACATACTGAGGTCTACTAACTCTGAGGCCTACCTCACACTGAGGCCTACCTCACACTGAGGCCTACTAACATTGAGGCCTACCTCACACTCCCTACAATTTCAGTGCCCAGAATTGGACACAGTGTGATTCCAGATGTGGTCTGACCAAGGTAGAATAGAGGAGTAGCATGACTGGATCTAGACACTAGACTCCTATTGATGCAGGCCAAAAAGGAGCTGGGCATGTTTAGCCTGAAGAAGAGAAGGCCGAGAGGAGATATGTATAAATATGTGAGAGGAAGCCACAGGGAGGAGGGAGCAGGCTTGTTTTCTGCTTCCCTGGAGACTAGGACGCGGAACAATGGCTTCAAACTACAAGGTCTCTTCCAACTCTTTGATTCTATGAAAATCCCATTGCCTTTTTGTTGTCTCACTGCATTGTTGGCTCATGTTCCCCTTCCTCCCCACGAGGACTCCAAGATCTTTTCCACACATCCTGCTGTCAAGTCAAGTATCGTCACCCATTCTCTATCTTTGCATTCCATTTTTTTCTGCCCAAGTGGAGTCTCTTGCATTTGTCCCTTTTGAACTTCATTTTGTTAGTTTTGGCCAATCATCTCTCTAATCTGTGAAGATCATTTTGAATTCTGCTCCTGACTTCTGGAGTATTGGCTGTCCAGAACAATTTGGTCCCGTCTGCAAACTCGATGATCATGCCTTCTAACCCTTCATCTAAGAGCAACTATCAATTGTGATGGATCACCTTGTTGAAATGAGATGGAGAGGAACAAGAATAGGTATATAACCCCACCACATGACAAGATGTATCCTCCCTAGCAAATTTCTGAAAAGTCAAGGATTTTCTAGGTTTTCCAGAGTGACACTATGGCAATTTCTGAGAGAAGTCGTTCATTTCAATAGGGTCCATTCTATAATGCAGAAAAGGTAGACACAAGGGTTAGGATCTGCCAAGGAGCCCAACAATCTCCTTCAAAAGCAAACAACACACCATTTGGAGCAATGGAGAAGAAGAACAAAACMGTTCTGGATCACCTGAACACCATCCACCCAAACATCCAATTCACCATGGAAAAAGAAAATGAAGGAAAACTGCCTTTTCTAGATGTCCTAGTCATCCGCAACCCAGATCAACAAYTGGGTCACACAGTTTACAGAAAACCTACACACACAGATAGATGTTGATGTTGTTCATTCGTTCAGTTGATTCCGATTGTTCGTTACGTCATGGACCAGCCCACGCCAGAGCTCCCTGTCGGCCRTCACCACCCCCAGCTCCTTCAATGTCAATCCAGTCATGTCAAGGATCCCATCCATCCATCTTGCCCTTGGTCGGCCCCTCTTCCTTTTTCCTTCCATTTTCCCCAGCATAGATACTTACATAAAAACTCCAACCATCACCCAAGTCAAAAAAGAAGCACCATGAAAGCCCTGGCAGACTGTGCAAAAAGAATCTGCGAAGCCCACATCCTCCAAGAGGAACTGAACTACCTAAACTGGGCTTTACGGAGCAATGGAGACTCCACCTCAGACATCAGAAAAGCTGCAAGACCAAGAACAAGCCACGAGAATCAAGACAAAGATCCATCCAGAGGAAAAGGGTTGTTGCCATACATCAAGGGAACCACTGACCGCAGAGGGAAGCTGATGAAGAAACACAACATACAAACTATCTACAGACCCACCAAGGAAATCCAACAAATGCTCCGTTCAGCAAAAGACAAGAGAGTCTACCGTGTACCATGCAGCTGTGGACAAGTCTACATAGGGACCGCCAAACGCAGCATTGCCCAAACACAAATCAAGGAACATGAAAGGCACTGCAGACTACTTCAACCAGAGAAGTCAGCCATAGCAGAGCACCTGATGAACCAACCTGGACACAGCATTTTATTTGAGAACACAGAAGTGCTGGACCACTCCAACAACCACCATGTCAGGCTACACAGAGAAGCCACTGAAATCCACAAGCATGTGCACAATCTCAACAGAAAGGAGGAAACCATGAAAATGAACAAAATCTGGCTACCAATACTAAAAAAAACACCTCTAAAATTATATCAGTAAATAAAAAACAAAACTCAAACACAGGGGAATGCCAGCCAGGAAACAATAAGAAGCACCTGGTAACCTCTCAACAAGGAAATTTCCCAGGCAGTAACAAGCCACACCTAAAAACTGTCAGGCCACCAAATGCTAATCAAGGTGGCCAATTGAAACATTCACACCTACTTCCAACAGACAAAAGTTATTTCTCCCACCCTGGACATTCCAGAGATATATAAACCCAATTTTCCAGTTTCCAACAAACCTCACAACCTCTGAGGATGCTTGCATAGATGCAGGTGAAACTTCAGGAGAGAATGCTTCTAGGACATAGCCATACAACCCGAAAAACCTACAACAACCCAAATAATATAGCACCTCAGTGGTACCTTTGAAATTCACAAAATATACTAGAGCACAAGCTTTCATTCACACAGATTTCCTTTCCTTGACAGTATTCCCCAATCTAACAAGACACTTCCTCCTTCTCCTCTTTTCAGGGCTCGACAACCACAGATACAATTGTGGATCATCATCAATAGCTGTAAATGTAAGGATCCCAATAGGCTTCCGCATCTGATTTATGGTCTCCCGAGTGCAACCACGATGTGTTTAAGAAAAATACATCAAATGCTCCAGTCCCAACAGTCCAATCCAAACAGGGCTGACAAAGCACATTTCTCTCTGGTTCGTCTTTCTCCCCCGCGGCTTGGCTGCTCTACTTGTAAAGAAGGAACTTCATTGGTCCCATAAGGATGCTCTTAAAAGGCAAGACGCAATGACCTGGAAATGGAAACTGGCAGCTAGAAAGGCCAATGCGATCCGAAGATACATCCACAGCACTCTAGTGCAGACATGAGCCAACTTGGGCCCTCCAGGTATTTTGGACTTCAAATCCCACAATTCCTAACAGCCGGTAAGCTGTTAGGAATTGTGAGTGTTGGAAGTCCAATACACCTGGAGAACTGAAGTTGGTCCATGCCTGTCCTACACACTCCGACCAAGTAGCAACAGTAAGAACAGACCATGGAACAACAGACTAGTTCAAGATTGGGAAAGGCGTACAGCAGGGTTGTCTACTCTCACCCAACCTATTCAACTTGTATGCAGAACACATCATGCGATGTGCGGGGCTTGAGGAATCCAAGGCTGGACTTAAAATTGCTGGAAGAAACATGAACAAGTTTAGATATGCAGATGATACCACTTTGATGGCTGGAAGTGAGGAGGAGCTGAGGAATCTCATAACCAAGGTGAAAGAAGAAAGTGCAAAGGCGGGGTTGCAGTTAAACATAAAACCACCAAGATTCTGGCAACCAGACTGACTGATAACTGGCAAAGAGAGGGAGAAAACATGGAGACAGTGACAGACTTTGTACTTCTAGGTGCGAAGATGACTGCAGACGCAGACTGCAGCCAGGAAATCAGAAGACGTTTCCTTCTTGGGAGGAGAGCAATGACCAGTCTTGATAAAATAGTGAAGAGTACCGTCATCACACTTGGCAACTAAGGTCCGAATATAATTAAAGCAATGGTATTCCCCACAGTGACCTATGGATGTGAGAGCTGGACCATAAGGAAGGCTGAGTGAAGGAAGAGAGATGCTTTTGAGCTGTGGTGTTGGAGGAAAGTTCTGAGAGTGCCTTGGACCGCGAGAAGATCCAACAAGTCCATACTTCAGGAAATAATGCCTGACTGCTCATTGTTGTTGCTGTTCATTCATTCAGTCGTTTCCGACTTTTCGTGACCTCATGGGCCAGCCCATGCCAGAGCTCCCTGTCGGCCGTCACCACCCTCAGCTCCTTCAAGGTCAATCCGGTCACTTCAAGGATGCCATCCATCCATCTTGCCCTTGGTCGGCCCCTCTTCCTTTTTCCTTCTACTTTCCCCAGCATAGTTGGTCCA